TATATATATATATATATATATATATATATATATATGTGTATGCACATATGCATATATCATTATTAACATATTTATTTGACAAGGCGCTCGAACTCAGTGATTTTCTTTTCTTAGTAATGGAAGCATTTATGGAACGTTTTATCACACTCTACAAATGATGCTGTTTTAGACGACAATTTTGACTGCAAAGGGAGGAGTGATGGCTTTTATTCGAAAGGCTGCAGTCAGCACTATTATGGTTGCGTCAGTGAGACAGTATTTCGAATGAGTTGCCCTCCGAATCTTATGTTTAACTCTCCTGCTGGTACTTGTGAAGCAGCTAAAGACGTTTCGGATTGCAGGTGCATAATGGAGTTTTGCCACCATCGCTAAACCGACCATATTTTACAAAATCAAATTTCAGAGACAACACAAGTGGCGAAGAAATGCCATTAGCACCTGTGGTCAGTAGTATGACACAGCTTCAGCCAAGTTGTTCGGAGCGGCCAGATGGTCCTTATCAGCTTGGTCATTGCTCCGAGGATTATATCGTATGTCGCGATGGCACTACTCGCTTAGCTAGCTGCGCTGATCCACTGGTTTTCAGTCCGCATAGTTTCCAGTGCGACTTCCGATCAAATGTACTCGGATGTATGAAGGCGGGTACAATGAATGGTCATAAAGCAGGTTAAGTGTTTCTGGTTGTTTGACGCCTGGGTCCTAGTGTCTTTTTCTTTCAGGTATGGAAGTTGCGTGGCTTGCCTTAACAAGTACGCAGCTAGCAAAACACTGTGGCACGTTTTTTATTTGGCGCTTTATTGCTAAAATTTATTTTTATCGCAATTTCTTAAGCTCGCTCACAGTTTTGGTAGAGGCAAGTAACGTTACTGAGGCTTAAGTCGATGGCTCGATTTTGTCAGTGAAAGTAGCAACCACCTAGAGACTTTTGCTTTGTTCTGTTGGTAAATTGGTGCTGCAGCATGCTAGGGAGACACAGCCACAATTGGTATGCTTCCGAGCAGTTCTTGGAAGAGAGTGCCATTGATGGCATTACCAAGTGTTGATTACTGTTTTCGTATGCTGCAGTTTGTCTTGTTGCTTCACTACCCACGAATGAAATGCATAAGGAGTTTGGCATTTTATTTTGCATATATCGATATTTTTCTGCGTTTTATGCTGTGCAACAGCCACACAAAATGCATTTTGTTTTGCCTCTACTTGTGTGTGTTTTATGTGTATGTGGATGTTTGTGTCGGAGTGTCCGCATTTTTTAACTGGAGAAGCACAAATTCTAGGAGGCTGAAATTTTAGGACGATGTTCCCCGCCCATGTGTGACTCAGCGAATTTAATTTCACCTTCACGTTTGTCTATGCCTCATCTGCGGTCAAGCCAAAGCTTTAGCGCCGAAATTAATAACGTGAGCAAGTATGATGGGCACGTATGGCTGTGTACCACGTATGATCGCACCGGCTACCTTGGTGGATACCGATATTTGTTGCTTTTTAATGTAACTTAGCCTTTTAAATCCATGCAGACTGCTCTTCTTTTCCTCTTCTGCCCCCGCCCCCTCTGCTAACTAAATTTTGCATCTCGATGTCTTACGCCTTTTTTTTTCAAAGACGATATTTTTACTTTTCTCGATAGTAAAATTAGTTGGTTCCGCAATTCCTGTAGCTATAGTGTTGGGATGGTAAAGAAACTTGCCAGTCCATGATGGCATTTTGTAAATATTTGGCATATTGCCTTTGCTCTTTGTTTTCTTGTTGGTTGATAGGTGCTATGATTTCTAGAAGGGCAATGTGCCGGAAGTTCGGATGGAATTTTCTCTAAGCGGTGTTCAAACAACTACCACATTTGCGCTAAAGGTGAAATGTACCGATTTGCCTGTCCTCCTGAGATGATCTACAATATTGAATTTGGCCGATGTGAGCGTCCCACCGGCATCTCTCCTTGTGCTCAATCGATGTCTCGAGAAACAGAGCCTGCAGAATCAAGGAGCCAATTGACCGTTGACGAAGAGTGTGTTTTTGCCATTCCCACCTTTATGTATATGCATGTCTGTGTAATACATTTTGAGGCATTTCAAAATCTCGGTGCAGTAGTAATCTGTGACGTGATGAAAAACTCCCCACATATTTTTGTCTACCGCATACAGAACTTAATGGACCAAGATTTTATTTGAGGGTACGTGTACGTCATTCAGGTTTATTTAAGCATTCATTTTCCATCTCTCCATTTTTCGGAAGGTGACAGTAAGATCCATTTATTTTCTGTTTGTATTTTTAACCTGTATTCCTAGCACTTGCATGTCCTGTGAAAAATTCTTCAGTATTTCAAATACACTGTCGTCTTACCAATTCTCGCAGTCTGCTGAAATGAATAGTGGCGATGAGGACAACGATTGCGATGGTCGAGCCGATGGAAATTATGCTACCGGGCCTTGCTCTGACACATTTTATGTGTGCGTCGTAAGTAGTTTACAATTTGTTATTTTGGAATTCAGCATTGGCTATTGCCTGGTTAATCGGTGTAGCTTGCACATCATATCCGGGTTCCAGGGAAGTGGTGCGGAATTTTGCCACTGTAATCTAAAACTATTGTTTAGGTGGAAATCAAAAGTTAAAAAGTCTACCGATAAGTTCGATTATACATTGATAAACAAGCTTTGTTGCCAGAATATGGTGAAAATGTCTATGTCATGCCCCAAAAAGCTTGTATTTGATGCAAGTAAGGATCGCTGTGAAGAACCGGAGAAAATTCCACAGTGTGCTATGGTGGAAGCTGCGCCCGATTATGATGATGGGTTTTCTGCTCCGTCACCTTCAGATACACTTGTCTGTATGAGACGAAGGGATGGAATCTATCCTCTGGATTCTTGCTTGCAAAGCTATTTTCGATGTCACAAACAGGTTGGTCGTTCTGGAGTAACGGGCTTTTTTTTTCAGGTAAGCGGAATTGCGTATTTTGAAATGCGCATTGCTTTTCAGTCCTATTTTTCCTTTTCTCCTAGACTGGAGACTTGTCTTCTTTCCCACTCAGCACTAATCAGCATTCTTTGTCCTTTACAATGAGCTCTATGTTTTCCTGTTAAACACTAAGCAGTGCTGGAATTTCTACTTTAGAAAGCGTCGGTGGAGCACTGTCCAGCCAGAATGGTATTCGATGGGAGTATTGGTGCTTGCACTCCGGAAATAAACTGTCTTCGAACAACTTCCACCACCATGCAAACATCTTCGCTTCCTCGATCGTCAGCGGTAATTATGCCAGCTGAGTCAGCCACCTTTGCATCAGTTTCTGCTTCTCCAGTAAAAACTGACGGTGCGGAACGTATCAGAAAAGATGAAGAGAGTAAGTTTCCTTTAGTCCATGAGTAAATGCTTGGGCGCTGTGCAGTGCACTGGTCTGTGTTGCGAGAAGTCAATTGTAAGAATCCGTTCTTCTGGATTAGAAATTCATTTTAAGCGTTGCGATTACTGTGGATGTTTGCAGAGCTAAGGCAGGTAGCGCCAACATGTCAAAAATTGCCAGATGGCAACTATTCAGCTGGCTGCCTTCCCAACTTTATAACTTGCTTTGGTGGTGTGGAAAAACGCAATGTATGCCCGGGGTCGGACGTCTTTTCGGACGTTCTTCGACGCTGCGTGTCCTATGACGAGTGTATGTTCCTCACTTATCGCATTCTGGCTTCATCACATCCAGGGCATAGGGCTGTCAACAATATTTCAGGTAAATTCACGTTATTTCCGGGCGGATTACCCAGTTACGTTTCTTATGTTGCTGGATGCCAGTGCAATATCGGTATCAGCATCGTAAGCGTACTGCTGAGTGAAAGCGCTCTCAAATTCCGCGCCTCCTGACTACAGTGACACAAAAGTTTTTCTCTTAGCTAGAACGGCTATGTTTGTTGTCCTGTTTCTGCTGCGTTCGGTGGACAGCGTGCACGGATTGTTCCATGGAAAAAAGTAGATAGCAGCGCGCGCTAGAATGACCGGTGCGATCTTGCGTTTTGTGCAATTCTGTTCACCGAACGATTGCTTGTTAGTGATTTTCATTGCTTTGCATTTTGGTCTGTGCATGCTTAGGAATGAATTTGAGTTTTGAGTCCCCTGCTTAGGCAGGAAATATTCTCCTGAGGCTTTCAGCCTACTAACTCTTCTGGCTCTCGAGATAGTGATTTTTCTCGCCAAAACTCCCGCGGAAACGTTGAAAATTTGCGGAGCTGTATGTAAGCAGGGAATGTCACGCTAAAATTTCAGCTTCCTAGCTTTTACGGCTTATGAGACAACTTCCCTACCAAAATTTTCACGAGGCCGCAAGTACCACCCAGGATTGCGTGAAGACTAAATCCGGATTTGCAGGGGTCGTAAGTTGATAGGAGATATCGCCCTAAAATTTCAGATTTCCGATTTGCGTGGGCCCTGAGATAATAATTTTCCCCGCCGAAAGTTTCACGGGACCTTAAGTGGTACCCGGGCGCGCGAGAAGGCTGAATTTAAATTTGCAGGGTTGCATATGGGCAGGGCACACTGCCGCAAAATTTCAGCTCCTTTGCTTTTATGGTTCCCGAGATAATTTCCCTGCTAAGATTTCATGAAGCCGTAGATGATGGCCGGGAGCGCGGAAACGCTAAATTTCAATTTGCAAGGTCGTGCATGGGCGGGGGCCATTATTTTAAAATTTTAGCTTCCTAGATTCCGTGGCTCCTGAGATAATAATTTTCTTGCTAAAAATTTTACGGTGCTGTACACAATACCCGCAGGCACGAGAGGGTTGAATTTAAATATAAGGTTGCATATGGGTAAGGACAGGCCCACAAAATTTCAGCCTTTTAGCCTCGGTGGTTCACGTGATAATAATTTTTCCCGCCAAAACTTCTACGGGACCGTACGTGCTACCCGCAGGACGGGGAGGCTGAATTTAAATATGTGGGATCACACATGAACGGGTAACATACGTCTAAATTTTTAGCTTCCTAGCTTTTGTGGTCCCCAAGTTGGAGTTGCAGACAAGTTGCTGCGGACATACACACACACACAGATAACTCCGTGACAATATGCGTTTTGTGCAGCTGTTGCACAGCACAAAACACATAATAAAATGCTCTGTTGAGCCACGTCATCAGTTATCCATATCCGTGGCTAATACTGACGACAAAGGGTACTCTGATGATACGCCATTAAAGGTGTGGGGAATGAGCTTTTGTGGGTCAGGATTGTAAAAAAGCAGCCCGGAACTGAGGGAGATAGACGTGCTTTCAATTAAAGAGCTCCAGACTAGTACTTCGTAGTTGTTTTTTTAGTATTGTTAACTTCAGAGCTGCTTCTTGTGTTTGGAGTTAGCGTTTTATCTCAGTTGGGTTTTGCTTTTGGTTTTTGATATTTTTCGCCCTGTTTTTTTTCTCGTTCTCAGTTTTTTAGCTGGTTTTTTCGTTTCTAGAATAAATATGCATTCCAGCATCATACGTTTCTGTTTGCAGTCAGCTCAGACGTTTCCGATTCTACTAGTGCACCAGTGAGTTTGAAATTGCAGCTCGCGAAGTCATCGTATCGTTCAGATGATGAGCGTGTCATCTACAGTTACTGTTTTTCCTGCATTTATGTACGTCGAAGAGTTCCACACTTAGACCCTTCTTGTAGGAATAATCTGTTTGAATTTGCCGGATGGCGATTATTCCCATGGATGCTCAAACGC